TCCTGCTCACCCCCCGAAGCTGGACACAGGCATGCAACCACCATGCCCGCTAATTTTTCTCTAAATATTAGTTGGCCAATCAATTTCTTTCTATTTATGGTGAGATTGGGGTCTTCGCTCTTGCTCAGGTTGGTTAGATCCTGACACAAACGATTACTCCGCGTTGGCCTCCCAGAGAGCAGGATTACAGGCGTGAGCCACGCACTCGCCTATCTTTTTTTATTTTTTTCAGAGTTTATTACCATTAGAATTGGGCATCATATTGTTGTTGTATTCAAGAAGCATTATTTTAAAACATATGAATAATTATTAAATAGAATCTTGCTTTGCGTCTGTATATAGATGAGTAGCCTAGTATAGGCACCAGTCGTCCATGAAAAAAAAAAAGAAAGCCAGAACACCAAATACCCACACCTATCCACCCACCCCTGTTAAACATACTGGACATGCTAAGGCAATCAAACACTTAAGTGGCAAATCCTACAGGAAGGAAAACCAAGAGGGAGTAGCAAACTACATTTTACAAACTGCCTTTCTCTTAGTTCTGCGATTTGGGAGCTTGGGTAAGAAGTTGAGAATTAGCCAAAAAGAATAAATAAATAACAAAAAGAAAACAAGGCAGAGGGCACTACTAAAGAGAGAAAGCAGGCTGCATGGTCTCACACCCTGTAATCCAGCACTATGTGAGGCTGAGCAGGCAGGATTCTCTAAGGGGTTGTGTGATCTATCCGTGAGCGTAGAGTAATATCTTCACTTACTGATGAAAAGGTATGAATATGAGATTAGCTGGGACACTGTAAGAGGAATTATATGAAAATGGATAGGCTGGGCATGTTGTGCAATGAGTTTGAGGTTTGCTGTGAGCAGGTTGGGACAAAAAAAAAAAAAAAAGTCTGCCAAAAGTCCAAACAGAAACTTAATCTTTCCTTAAGCAAATCCAGAAAACCATAAGAAGACTGATTTAAAAAAAAAAAAAAAGCTATGTCAACTTTATGGCCCGGCAAATATGAGAGTCTATGAATCCATATATCATGTATTCACAAAGAATTTTTTTGCCAAAGAACAGCATATGTAGGAAACAAAAAATTGTATTAAACCTCTAGAAATTACAATTTTCTAGAGGTTTATTAAGCAGAACGGACCGACTCTACTCCCATTTTTCTATGCTGAGACTCTTCCTCTCATTATAAAACAATTAGTCATGCATTGCTTAATGACAGGATACATTCTGGGGTCGTCAGGTGATTTCATTGTTGTGCAAACATAGAGTGTACTTGCACAAACCTAGATGGTATAGGCTACTATACATCTAGTCTACATGGCACAGCCTCTTGCTCCTGGCCTATAAATAAACCTATACAGCATGTTACTGTACTGAATACTGTAGGCAATTGTAACACAATGGTATTTGCATATCTAACATTCTAGAACACAAATACAAAAAAGTATTTAAAAAACTCCGCTCACTTTCACTAAATGGAGATTAACAGGACAACAATTTCAGCATTATCTTTTTTGTGGGGAGGAGACAGGATCTCACTCTGTTGCCTGGGCTAGAAAATGCAGTGGCATCCTCAAAGCTCACTAAAACCTCAAACTCCTGGGCTCAAGCTATACCTCCTGCCTCAGCCTCCTGAGTGGGTGGGACTACTGGTGTATGCCAGCACATCTGGCTAATTTTTCTTGTTTTTTTTGTAGAGATGGGGTCCTGCTCTTGCTCAGGCTAGTCTTGAACTCCTGACCTTAAGTGATCCTCCTGCCTCAGCCTCCCAAAGTGCTAGGATTACTGGCATGAGCCATCACACATAGCCTGCTTTTTGTTTTTTGGTATGAATGTTAGTATTACATTTGAAACTATCTTTATGCATATACACAGGCATAAGTTGGAGATACTGTCTGTTTTGGTTCCAAACCACAACAAAGTAAATGACACAAATTCTTTGGTTTCCTAGTGCATACGAAAGTTATGTTTATATTGTAAGAGACAGGGTCTCACCCTGTCATCTAAGTTGGAGTGCAGCTGCATAATTGTACTTCACTTTTTTTTTTTGAGACAGAGTCTCGCTTTGTTGTCCAGGCTAGAGTGAGTGCCGTGGCGTCAGCCTAGCTCACAGCAACCTCAAACTCCTGGGTTCAAGCGATCCTCCTGCCTCAGCCTCCCGAGTAGCTGGGACTACAGGCATGCACCACCATGCCCGGCTAATTTTTTCTCTATATATTAGTTGGCCAATCAATTTCTTTCTATTTATGGTAGAGATGGGGTCTCGCTCTTGCTCAGGTTGGTTCGAACTCCTGAACACAAACGATCTACCTGCGTTGGCCTCCCAGAGAGCTAGGATTACAGGCGTGAGCCACCGCACTCGGCCTATCTTTTTTATTTTTTCAGAGTTTTATACCATTAGATTGTGGCATCATATTGTTTGGTCATTCAAGAAGCATTATTTTAAAAACATATGAATAATTTATTAAATAGAATCTTGCTTTTGCTTCTGTATATACTTGAGTAGCTAGTAGTAGGCACCAGTGCTCCCATGGGAAAAAAAAAAATAGAAAAGCCAGATACACACAAATACCCACACCCATCCACCCACCCCTGTTTAAACATACTGGAGAGTGCTAAGGCAATCAAAACTTAAGTGGCAAATCCTACAGTGAGGAAACCAAGAGGGGAGCTAAACTGACATTTTGCAACTGCCTTTTCTCTTAGGGTTCTGCTGATTTTGGGGAGCTGGGTAAGAAGTTGAGAATTTAGGCCAAAAATAAATAAATAAATAACAAAAAGAAAACAAGGCAGAGGGCCACTACTAAATAGAAAGAAGCAGGCTGGGCATGGTGGCTCACACCTGTAATCCTAGCACTATGGGAGGCTGAGGCAGGCAGATTGCTCAAGGAGTTTGGAATCAGCCTGAGCAAGAGTGAGACTCTTTCTCTACTAAAAAAAATAGAAAGAAATTAGCTGGACAACTAAAAATATATAGAAAAAATTAGCTGGGCATGGTGGTGCATGAGTTTGAGGTTGCTGTGAGCTAGGCTGACGCCATGGCACTGTAGCCCGGGCAACAGAGACTCTGTCTCAAAAAAAATAAAAAAGTAAATAAAAATTAAATGTATGTACTACTTCTACTCAATTTTATATCCTATATAGTAACCTGGCATAGTCCTTTTGAAATGCTAGGACATTAAGCTTCAGTAAAGCATAATTGTTAGGGTATTTATGAGCTTTAGCTTAAGAAAGATGCAAGTCTTAACACCACTACTTACTAGCTATATTATCTTGTATAAGGTTACTAACTCTCTTCAGAAGTCATCTGTGAAGTGGAGATGATGCTTACACTAACAGAGTTAGATAACATATATAAACACTCTCTGACATATAATAAACATTCAGGATGAGATAGTTTTAATTATTACTTACATTGGCTACCACTTTTACTTCTTTGTATTGAGCTTCATAGAAAATTCCAGCATTTTCCAGTGCTTCCGTTAGTGAAGGCCCATTTTTCACCTGCTTATCTAATCCATTCACAAATTCCTCCAACTTGGAGCTTGCCTCTTCAAATTCTTTAGAGAACTTCTTCCCACCTGTTTTGTCTAAAATAACACGGGAAGTATTCATTTCAGGATAAAAAATAAAAAATTTAATCTTTTAGCTCAGCATGGTGGCTAGAGCCTGTAATCAATCCCAGCTACCGTGTTTCCCCAAAAATAAGACCTACCCATAAAATAAGCCCTAGCAGGATTTCTAAGCATTTGTACAATATAAGCCCTACCCCGAAAATAAGACCTAGTGATGGACGTAGCTACGCAGCGTATCTGCACAACCCATCCATTTTGTCGTGGAACGGTAAAGAAGACGAGCAGCCCTTCTCATCTGTACCATGAGAGCTCTATTGCTTGACATGAGAGACTGGGGGCAATGGTTCTAAAGGAAATAGAGTCATAAGAAATTCAGGATGGAATTCAGGGTTTGGAGAGTTATGATGATGTTCCAGAAGAAGACAACTTAACTATATTTGAATAAATATAGATTGTTGTACTGTACTTAAAAAAAATTAACACATCCCCTGAAAATAAGCACTAGGGAGTCTTCTTGAGGAAAAATAAATATAAGACCCTGTCTTATTTTTAGGGAAATGTCACACTCAGGAAGCTGAGGCAGGAGGACTCCTTGAGTCCAGGAGTTCAAGGCTGCAATAACTAAGATCATGGTGAGGAGGGGTCCACTGGCCCCCACAATGGGGGCTGAATGACACTCTTTGCCTTTAAAAAATGAAAATAAAAAAGAAACAGGCAGGGTGTGGTGGCTCAGACGTGTAATCCTAGTACTCTGGGAGGCCGGATCGTTTGAGCTCAGGAGTTCGAGACCAGCCTGAGCAAGAGTGAGACCCCATCTCTACTCAAGAAATAGAAAGAAATTAGCTGGACAACTTAAAAAATAAATATATATATATAATTAGCCAGGCATGGTGGCGCATGCCTGTAGTCCCAGCTACCTGGGAGGCTGAGACAGGAGGACTGCCTGAGCCCAGGAGTTTGAGGTTGCTGTGAGCTAGGCTGATATCAGGCACTCTAGCCCGGGCAACAGGGTGAGACTCTGTCTCAAAAACAAACAACAACAACAACAACAAAACTAAGGTCTTGCCACTGAACTAGAGTTCAGAGTGACAGAGTGGTAACACTCTCTCTAAAAAAAAAAAAAAAAAAAAAAAAAGTTTTAATTAAAATAAAAAAATTTAATTTTTTGAAGAAAATCCCTGTCTGTGAATCTGTTCTTGCTGCCTTAGTGTATAATAAATCGTCTTAGTCTCATAGTTTTATATAAAGAAGCTTCTCCAAACCACAAAATCACAAAACAGATTGTTATAATTTTTCTGAAGACAGATTAATGAATGAACCTCTGAAGTAAAGCAAGAACAAAGAAAGGCATTTGAGATTCAGGTAAAGAAAGAAAGTTCACTAAACAAAGTTTGCTGATACTTTTCTTACAATTAGATGTCACATTGCCACTTAAGAATAGCAGAATGAGGCTCAATTCACTTATACCATAACTTTTGCATTATAGAAGGCAATGGAGATATATCTCTTAGATGAGAAAAGGTTCAGAAAAGTAAAAATAAAATGACCCCTGTGTGTATCACACTAAATATTCTTTCCTATCTTAAAAAGATCCTTGATAATTCAACATGTGTACTTCTTTCCCAGTGATGGCTTTGGATATGAGCATACATTTTGGTTTTGCTTCTTATCCTGTATAACTTGGGCAACCTACTCATCTCTCATAAAGCTCAGATATATGTAATAACACAGAGATTTTTGGTATGCTCTGGGTTGTTTTGAGGATTAAATTAGATGGCATGTGTTAAATTTAAAGTATGGTACAGGAACAAAATAAGTGCCAAAATGAATAGCTAGTAGTTATTTACTCATTATTTCAAAAATACTCATTATGTGCCAAGCATTGCTCTAGGCACTAGGGTATAGCAATGAAAAATAAGGATAATTTTTGCTTCATAAGACTTACATTCTAATAAATTGTTAGTATGATTTACAATTTACAATGTGAGGAAAAGAGAGCAACTAATTCAATTTTGTGATGTGCTACAGTGACCTTATTAAAGAGTATACCTTGTAACAATTAACCACACACTTGTGAAATATAACTGTCTATCTATAACCCAGTACACCAAGAATGTACTAGAAGTTAGGAGAGGGATAAGAATTTACTTATGAAATTTATATACTTCAAATCACTACCTGGGAAACCAGAGGTACCACAACCTAAAGTTCTCTTTATGAGGTAAACCAGTCTGATTATAGAAAATGACAGATCTGAAAGAAAATCTAAATTATCCCATTTAAAATAATGTATTACCTTTTAAGCATTTGAGAGTTTCTGTGCTGCACACATCCACCCTCATAGTTGACAACTGTTTTTCCTTCAATTCTATCTGATCTTCTGAGCGCTTGTATAGCAGCAGCTCTTCAATTAGGGCCTGTGACTGAACATAGACCAAGAGTCACATTTCATTTACAAGATCATTATTATTCTTATTCTACTTCTCCCATTAAAAAAAGAAAAACAGACTAAAGCTTAACAAAACCTGAGAAGAAAAATCACTCTCTTTTCTCACAGGATATCAATGATCATTTCTCATGTCAAAACTGTTATTTTCAGCTATATACTATACTATACTATATATACTATACTATACTATACTATACTATACTATACTATTTTATTGAGACAGATTCTCGCTTTGTTGCCCAAGCTAGAGTGAGTGCTGTGGTGTCAGCCTAGCTCACAGCAACCTCAAACTCCCGGGCTCAAGCAATCCTTATGCCTCAGCCTCCCGAGTAGCTGGGACTACAGGCATGCGCCACCATGCCTGGCTAATTTTTTCTATATATATTAATTGGCCAATTAATTTCTTTCTATTTTTATTGTAGAGACAGGATCTCGCTCTTGGTCAGGCTGATTTCAAATTCCTGACCTCGAGCAATTCACCCGCCTCGGCCTCCCAGAGTGCTAGGATTACAGGCATGAGCCACCGTGCCCGGCCTCAGCTATATAATTTAAAAGAGTCTTTCCCTTAAATTATTCAAAGCTAATTTATGGATACAGGGTTAAGACTGAAACAGACATAGGCCCACTTATAGCCTCTTTAAATTTTAATTACATAGTCTTCTGATACTCTAAACAATTCTTATTTATTATTTTTTTTAGACAGAGTCTCACTTTGTTGCCCTGGTTAGAGTGAGTGCCGTGGCGTCAGCCTAGCTCACATCAACATCAAACTCCTGGGCTCAAGCAATGCTCCTCCCTCAGCCTCCCGAGTAGCTGGGACTACAGGCATGCGCACCATGCCCGGCTAATTTTTTTATATATATTAGTTGCCAATTAATTTCTTTCTATTTATAGTAGAGTCGGGGTCTCGCTCTTGCTCAGGCTGGTTTCGAACTCCTGACCTCGAGCAATCCGCCCGCCTCGGCCTCCCAGAGTGCTAGGATTATAGGCGTGAGCCACCGGGCCCGGCCCAAATTCTAATTTAGAAGAGTTTCATCGGATGAGTACAGTGTCTCATGCCTGTAATCTTAGCATTCTGAGAGCCCAAGGTGGGAGGATGACTTTGAGTTCAGGAGTTGGAGACCAGTCTGAGCAAGAGCAAGAACCCATCTCTACTAAAAATAGAAAAATGAGCCAGGCCTGGTGGTATGCACCTGTAGTCCCAGCAACTTGGAAAGGCTGAGGCAGGAGAATCACCTGAGCCCCGGAATTTCAGGTTGCTATGAGCTGGGCTGATGCCATGGCACACTAGTCTGGGCAACAGAGCAAGACTGTCTCAAAAAATAAATTAAAAAAAAAATAGAAGAGTTTCAGAGATAGATAAAGCACCCTTGTTGGCATAAATTCAATATAGAGCTTAGCTGGTGATATATACTCTGGAAGATTATTTCTCCCATTAGAGGAACAGATAAAACTCTAAGCAATCTAATCTTAATCTGGACTCCTTAAGAATAGTTCAAACATGTTGAAAACATAACTGATGTACAATTAAATAATAATTAAAAAAAAGAATCTTACTGGGACTATATAGGAAACTGTAACACAAAAGATGTGAATAATACTTTGCTATATTAAACAAATGCAGTAACTTACTCGAAATTCAGCAACTATCTTAGACTTGAGAGCAGCTTTTGGATTTGTGGATGCTGTTAGAATTAAACAAGAGATCATTAAGAACACAAACACACAGAGTTGAGTTTATACTCAGGAAAAATTTTAGCTCTATAGTTAAGGGTGTAGTCTTTGAACATAAAGCAAACATGCACATTTAAGTCATAATTCCTAGATTAACAGACTATGAAATTTAAAAACTCTCAAGCATGGTCAATATAAAAATACACTATTTGGATAGGCCTAACCTACTTACCTCTGGCAGACCCTTGAAGTAAAAAAGTCCTAGAATTATTGATTTGAAGATACTGAGATATATGAAGTACCTTCTTTTGCTAGTCTGACTGAGTGTAAGATCTCACTACCTCAAATAAAGTGTGCTCAGGAACAGGACATCCAATTAATCCTGAGCACTGGCTGAAGAAAATTACTTACAAATATCAACTCTATTTCTATTATTTAGCTTTGAATGTGTATTTCTGCTGACTTAATTCAGAGTGAAAATAGGCAAGGAAAGTTCTAAGTACATCACCACTGTGGCTGAACTTTGGCTGAAATGACGACTCTTGTTGTTCCTAAGCATGCAACTTATGACCAAAAGGATGTTAGAAGACTCCCTTAATCATGATGAATATCACATGCTCGCTGCAGCAAAACCATCCCAAGTGTCTTGTTTTACCTCCCAATTCTCACTGTCTTTTACCTTGTTCCCTCTATACCTTCAAGTCTCTCTCAATATTCCTCAGTTTGCCCACAGCAGCCTATCACATGCAGTATTCCACTCCCTTGATCTCATGCTGGGTAAATATGATAAACATAACAGGAGCTCCAGTTAGAAAATGAGCTTCTGGCCAGGATATGAGGCCCATGTCTAATTTGGTAGAGTGTATCCCCAAATCTGAAGGATTTCATGGTTCTCACAGAAATGCTTCTTAATGCCTAGTCTCCTCTTCAGATCTGTTGTTTAATGCCAGCTGCCTCTAACTTCATACATCTTTGAACCTGAGAATTAGCCTGGGCACTATCAAGTATTTTTTTTTTTTCTTCTTTCAATCCCCCCAACTACTCTTGAATCTTCACTCAATTAAACCCTTTTTCTGCATTTCCTTTTGTTTAAAAGTGATTTTTTTTTTTTCCTTTAGAAGTAACTCCATGATGGCTTGCTTAGTTTAAGTCACTGGGAGCCTCCCAGGCCTGGAAAACACAGGCTTGCCCATGGTTTATGCCAGGTACGATGTCAAATGGTTTACATTTTCTTCTGCTCCAAAAAGAGGAGGTAATTTTATATTAGTTGAGATTTTGGTCCTTACTTTGTGATTTCTTCCACTGCTTATTCGGTTGTTTGTTCAGATTTTCTTTCAGCTGCTTCTGAGTTTTGAAAGTGGTACCTGGAAAACATTTCAGTTTTTGCAATCTGGCATTATGGGAAGCTGTTCTGTCTGTCCACTTCAGAGCCAAAGTTGTAGCATGAAAAAAGGCAATCCGAGACTGTGTGTTGTTTCTTTCTTTCTTTTTCATTTTTATTAAAAAAAAAAAAAAAAAAAATAGAAACTCCCATAGATCTAAGAAGCTGTCAAATAAACATGATTTCTATAATCAGTGAAATTATCAATTTTGAAAAGAATAGGGCAGGAGGCTTAAAAATACCAGTTAACAAATGGAAATGAAGAATTTAACAGCTTCTTAGAAGATGCTATTTTTAAAGCAAATTTCTAGTCAAATGATGGTCATGGTAGCAGATTATCATCAACTTCTATTCAATGACTTAATTACATGCATCTAACACATAGGAACTAAGAACTAATACACAAGAACTTTCTTCCTTTTAAAAAAACCAGGAATACAACTTACTGTAAATCTAAATCAAAAGAGTCTGAAGAATAGCAATAAACGCTTTCAATCAAATAGCTTAGTGAGAACTAAAACCCTGTCCAAAAATTCTTCAAAGTACAGGGCAGTATTTATTAAACATAAACAATGAATGACTTGAAACACTCAAAGCAAATGCAGGCAAATAATCAGATGGCTATCATCATTTAATATGCTTGACTTTTTTAGTCAATAAAAACAAAAATCCAACCCCCATCTCAAAAACCAATATTACTTAATTTTTAATTCAAAAAGATTACAAGTATTTAATTTTAAACAAACAGGGCCAGATCTAAAACTTTATTTTTCATTATTATGAAATATGACCAGATCTATAAAATATATAATTATAAATACTAACTCAAATTTTTCTTTTAGGAGAGAAAAAGACACTTACTCAAAGCTTCTCTCAATGCCACAATCATTTCTTCTGGGTATACATTTCTGTCTTCCCAGATTTTAAAGATTCGTTCTACAGACTTAGAGACAGATGGATCCCTGAAGAGAAAAAAAATATATATGCTATAAAAATATTGACTTATATTCCAAACTAGAAATCTGAAAAAAAAAATTGTCAACAAAATTATTTTCAAAATTTCTTCTGATGTTTATTTTAAAATATTGTTTTCTATAATAACTAAGAAATATTAAACACTTATTCAAGACTGCTTTCAATGACATAGATGAGACTATGGACGACAAACTGAAAGTTTTGATGGATATGAATTTGAGAGGGCTAGTCAATGTGCTAACTCACAGAACTGGCATTCCAAAAGACAGGCTTAATCCAACAAGATAAAATCTAGTACATAATAACTTGGTCCAAAAAACAATTACACTAGTACAGAATGAGAAGACAAAATTTAACAATGCTCTATGATTTTTCATTTCTTCTTTTAAAGGTTTGGACAAAAATAATCATGATTCAATCATACACTGTAACATGTTTTCTAAAAAGCTAACACATAGTACTATAAAAATGGTATAAAAATTTGGAATGAAGTGAAAAGTATTAATTCTGTTTGTTTGCAGATGAGCTTCTGGGTTCAGGTTGGCTCTCTCACTTTAAAAAAAATGTTAAAGTAGAAGAGAATGAGAAAGAATTACCAGTATTTACTGTAAAGATTTAAATTATGTCTCATGTAGAACTGTAGAATAAGCAGAAAAAACAACACAGGGAAGACATAACTGAGTAAGGGAGAGTAATCAAACTGGTTCCAGGATGCAAAATAAAAACAAAAGAATGCAGTTAGCAGGAAAGAAATTTCATTGTAACACATTTGCCAAAGAACAGAGACCACTCTAACATTCTAATAGATCTGCCACTATTAAAATACCATCATCATTTTTCACAGATATAGAAAAAATAGTTTTATGCTTCGTATGGAACCAGAGAAGACCCTGTATACCAAATCAATCCTAGGCAATAAAAACAAAATAGAAGGCATCAATTTACCAGATTTCAAACTATACTACGAGGTTATAGTAATTAAAACAGCTTCATACTGGCACAAGAACAGGGACATTGACCAGTGGAACAGAACAGAGAACCCAGATATAAAACCATCCTCAATCCTAGCACTCTGGGAGGCTGAGGCGGGCGGATTGTTCAAGGTCAGGAGTTTGAAACCAGCCTGAGCAAGAGCGAGACCCCGTCTCTACTAAAAATAGAAAAATGAACCCGTCTTAGTCTCATAGTTTTATATAAAGAAGCTTCTCCAAACCACAAAATCACAAAACAGATTGTTATAATTTTTCATGAAACAGATTAATGTGAATGAACCTGCTGAAGTAAAGCAAGAACAAAGAAAGGCATTTGAGATTCAGGTAAAGAAAAGAAAGTTCAACTAAAACAAAGTTTGCTGATACTTTTCTTCACAAATTAGATGTCACATTGCCACTTAAGAATAGCAGAATGAGGCTCAATTCACTTATACCATAACTTTTGCATTATAGAAGGCAATGGAGATATATCTCTTAGATGAGAAAAGGTTCAGAAAAGTAAAAATAAAATGACCCCTGTGTGTATCACACTAAATATTCTTTCCTATCTTAAAAAGATCCTTGATAATTCAACATGTGTACTTCTTTCCCAGTGATGGCTTTGGATATGAGCATACATTTTGGTTTTGCTTCTTATCCTGTATAACTTGGGCAAGCTACTCATCTCCTCATAAAGCCTCAGATATATGTATAACACAGAGATTTTTGGTATGCTCCTGGGTTGTTTTGAGGATTAAATTAGATGGCATGTGTTAAATTTAAAGTATGGTACAGGAACAAAATAAGTGCCAAAATGAATAGCTAGTAGTTATTTACTCATTATTTCAAAAATACTCATTATGTGCCAAGCATTGCTCTAGGCACTAGGGTATAGCAATGAACAAATAAGGATAATTTTTGCCTTCATAAGACTTACATTCTAATAAATTGTTAGTATGATTTACAATTTACAATGTGAGGAAAAGAGAGCAACTAATTCAATTTTGTGATGTGCTACAGTGACCTTATTAAAGAGTATACCTTGTAACAATTAACCACACACTTGTGAAATATAACTGTCTATCTATAACCCAGTACACCAAGAATGTACTAGAAGTTAGGAGAGGGATAAGAATTTACTTATGAAATTTATATACTTCAAATCACTACCTGGGAAACCAGAGGTACCACAACCTAAAGTTCTCTTTATGAGGTAAACCAGTCTGATTATAGAAAATGACAGATCTGAAAAGAAAATCTAAATTATCCCATTTAAAATAATGTATTACCTTTTAAGCATTTGAGAGTTTCTGTGCTGCACACATCCACCCTCATAGTTGACAACTGTTTTTCCTTCAATTCTATCTGATCTTCTGAGCGCTTGTATAGCAGCAGCTCTTCAATTAGGGCCTGTGACTGAACATAGACCAAGAGTCACATTTCATTTACAAGATCATTATTATTCTTATTCTACTTCTCCCCATTAAAAAAAAGAAAAAACAGACTAAAGCTTAACAAAACCCTGAGAAGAAAAAATCACTCCTCTTTTCCTCACAGGGATATCAATGATCATTTCTCATGTCAAAACTGTATTTTCAGCTATATACTATACTATACTATACTATACTATACTATACTATACTATACTATACTATACTATACTATACTATTTTATTGAGACAGATTCTCGCTTTGTTGCCCAAGCTAGAGTGAGTGCTGTGGTGTCAGCCTAGCTCACAGCAACCTCAAACTCCCGGGCTCAAGCAATCCTTATGCCTCAGCCTCCCGAGTAGCTGGGACTACAGGCATGTGCCACCATGCCCGGCTAATTTTATATATATATATCAGTTGGCCAATTAATTTCTTTCTATTTATAGTAGAGACGGGGTCTCACTCTTGCTCAGGCTGGTTTTGAACTCCTGACCTTGAGCAATCCGCCCGCCTCGGCCTCCCAAGAGCTAGGATTACAGGCGTGAGCCACAGCGCCCTGCCTGTACTTCACTTTTAACCTTGAACTCTGGGCTCAAGTGATCCTCCTGCCTCAGGCTCTCAAGTAGCTGGGACTATAGCAACATGCCACCATGCCCAGCTATTTTTCTTTTTTTTGTAAATACAGGGTCATGCTATTTTGCCCAAGCTGGTCTCAAATTCTTGGCTCAAGTGATCCTCCTGTCTGGGCCTCCCTAAGTGCTGACTACAGGCCTCAGCCACCTGGCTTAGCCTGTACTGTGGTCTATTAAATGTGCAATAGCATTATGTCAAAAAAAAAAAAAACAAAAAACCAACTCCAAAGTATATACTTTACTTTAAAAGATACTTTATTGTTAAAAAATGCTAACAATTATCCAGACCTTCAGCAGTCATAATTGTTTTGCGGGCTGAGAGTCTTGCCTCAATGTTAACAGCTGCTGACTAATCAGAGCGGTGGTTGTCAAAGGCTTGGGTGGCTGTGGCAATTTCTTAAAATAAGACAACCAAGTTTGTTGTATTGCTTGACTCCTTTTAGGAAAGGTTTTGCTGTAGCATGCAATGTAGCTTGACAGCATTTTACCCACAGAATTCCTTTCAAAACTGGAGGCAACCTTCTCAAACCCTGCTGCTGCTTTATCAACTAAGTTAATGTAATAATCTTAATCCTTTGTTGTCATTTCAACAGTGTTCACAGCATCTTCACCAGAAGTAGGTGCCATTTCAAGAAAACACTTTCTTTGCTCATCCATGAGAAAGAATTACTCATCTGTTAGTGTTTTACCATGAGATTTCAGCGATTTTCAGTCACATCTTTAGGCTCTACTTCTAATTCTAGTTCTCTTGTTACTTTGATCACATCTGCAGTACCTTCCTCCACTGAAATCTTGAACCTCTTGAAGTCATCCATGAGGACTGAAATCAACTTCTTCCAAACTCCTGTTAACGTTGATATTTTAATCTCCTCTCATGAATCACAAATGTTCTTTTTGTGTGTGTGACAGAGTCTCACTTTGTTGCCCAGGCTAGAGTGAGTGCTGTTGCGTCAGCCTAGCTCACAGCAACCTCAAACTCCTGGGCTCAAGCAATCAGCCTGCCTCAGCCTCCCAAGTAGCTGGGACTACAGGCATGCGCCACCATTCCTGGCTAATTTTTTCTATATATATTAGTTAGCCAATTAATTTCTATTTATAGTAGATGGGGTCTCGCTCTTGCTCAGGCTGGTTTCGAACTCCTGACCTCGAGCAATCCACCCGCCTTGGCCTCCCAGAGAGCTAGGATTACAGGTGTTAGCCACCGCACCGGTCCATAAATGTTCTTTTTTTTTTTTAAATTTTGTCTTTAACAATGCTATGACTGTGCTACACAAATGTTCTTAATGGCATTTAAACTGGTGAATCCTTTCCAGAAGGTTCTCAATTTATTTTGTCAGATCTATCAGAGGGATCACTATCAATGGCAGCTATAGCCTTACGAAATGTATTTATTAGAGAATAAGACTTGAAAGTTCAAATTACTCTTTGATCCCTAGGTTGCAGAACAAATATATTAGCAGGCATGAAAATAACAATCTTCTTGTATACCCCAATCACAGCTCTTGATGACTAGGCATATTGTCAATGAGCAACAGTAATATTTTGAAAGGAATCTTTTTTTCTTAAGCAGTTCTCAACAGTGGGCTTAAAACATTCAAAAAACCATGCCATAAACAGATATGCTGTCATCCAGGATTTGTTCCATTTATTGAGCACAGGTAGAGTAGATTTAGCACAATTCTTAAGGGCCGTAGGATTTTCAGAATGGTAAATGAGCACCAGCCCCAACTCAAAGTCACCAGCAACATTAACCCTGAACAGGAGAATTAGCCTGTCCTTTGAAACTTTGAAGCTAGTCACTGAATTCTCTTGAGCTGTGAAAGTCCTAGATGCTACCTTCTTCCAATATAAATCTGTAATTTAGTGGATTATCTATGCTGCTAAGTCTGTTGTCAGTTTAATCGTAGTATTTTTGTATATGATCTTTTTTTTGGCTGCTTTGGGTTTTTTAAA